TCAGCAGATCCAGACAACTTGCATCCAAAAGTTTGGAAAGCTGGCTGAAGAGCTTCTTGTATCATTAATGTTGATTTTCAGGAAGTTTAGGTAAGTTCCAGAAGACTGGAAGAAAGCTGATGTTGTGTCAAAATTTTAAAAGCGTAAATGGGATGACCCAGGTAATTATAGGCATGTTAGTCTGACATCAATCCAGAGCAAGATAATGAAGAAGCTGATATGGGACTTGATGTGGAATTAAAGAAGGCCAATATAATTAATGCCAATCAACATGGATTTATGGAAGATAGATCTTGTCAAACACACTTTATATTTTTGATGAGATTATACATTTCATTGATAAAGATATTAGCACAGATAAAACATACTATGGCTTTTGAAACATTTAACTCATTTTGATTTAAAAACTAGAAAAGATAGAAAAGCACGTGAAATGGATTTAAAACTGGCTGATGGGTCCTCAAAATGTAATTGTAAATGGGGAATCACCCCTGAAATGGGTGCACTCCAAGTGCAGTCTTGCCAGGATCAGTTCTTGGGCCGATGCTATTTATCATTTTTATTAATAACCTCGGGGAAAATATAAAATCAGGGCTGATACATTTTGTAGATGACACAAAAATTGAAGGTGTGGTAAATAATGAGACAGTGGGACACTGATAAAGAGCAATCTGCATCAATGTTCCCTGTAATTTTTTCCATTCAGGGGCAGATTTTCTCTATGCACGTGCAGAATAATTTTATGTGCACCGAGACGTGTGAATATGCACCACCAGTAGAAACTAAAAATGTGGCTGTGGGAGTTCTGCTAATCAGCTGGGTGGTGTTTGAATGTCTCCTGATCTGCATTACTTGATATGACAGGCACAGGCAAACAATATGCCTTTTAATATAGCAAAATGTGGACATATGCATATACATACATAGGCAATATATATATATGATTGGAGACTGGGAAGCAGTGGGCGATTTGGGAATTGTGGTGATCATAAGCTGAATGTGAGCTCCCAGTGTGATACTCTGCCAAAATAGCTAAAGTGATCTTTGGATGCATTAACAAGGGAGTCTTGAATAGGAGTGGAGAGGTTATTTTTCCTCTGTAATTTGCAATGGTGCAATAACTGCTGGAATACTGTGTTCAGTTCTAGTGTCCACATTTCAAGGATATTGTTAACATTTGAGAGGGTTCAGAGAAGAGCCATGAAAATGATTAAAAGGTTAGAAAACATGCCTTATGGTGATAGACTCAGGAAACTCAATTTACTTCTCTTGGCCTGTCTTTGATAAGATGTATCCTTATTATGGTATATAAGGACTACCTGGAAGACAAATATTTATTAGTGGAGTCTTCAGTCTAGCAAAGAAAGGCATAACACAACCGATACAGGAAGCTGAAGCTAGACAAAGACCAGAAATAAAGCGTACATTTTAAAATAAAGTGAGAGTAATAAAGCATTGGAAAACTCATCAAGAATGGCAGTGGATCACTGACCATTTTTCTAAAAACATATGCTCTGGTCTAGGAATTGTTTTGGGTAAGTTCTAGGGCCTGTGTATATAGGAGGTCAGCCGAGAACAGAATTGTTAGACACATAGTTGAATGTAATTTGTTGGGGAAGAGTCAACATGATTTTTGTAAAAAGAAATCATATCTGACCAATCTACTAGATTTCTTTGAGGATGTCAACAAACATGTGGACTATAGGGATCCAAAGTATAGAGTATACTTATATTTCCAAAAAACTTCCTCACCAAAGACTCTTAAGCAAAGTAAGCTATCATGGGATAAGATGGAAGCTCCTCCTCTCATAAATAGGTAACTAGTTTAAAGATAGGAAACAAAGAGCTGTCTGGATGGCATGGAAACATGAGTGAAGATTGTCGACTCCAGCTTATGTTATTAAAGTATCTTATTTTGACCTTCCGCTGTGGTGTAGACCAGGTTTCTGCAGGGACTGACAGTAGCAGTACTGTTTTTGTGGATGTTTAGCTATGCATTGCTAAAATTTACATGGCTAAATCCTTGCATGATGCTCAGGAAATGTACTTCTAAATCTGAAAACTGTTAAGTACTTTGTTCATATGGGACTAAATAAGCCCTAATACATTGATTTTCTCCACAAATACTACACATCTAACACATTACACAGGTCTAAATGGAGCATATAGCCTTTACGCTACGTGAGTATACTGCAGCACTACAGAAGACCTTTGAGTAACTTCAGACCTAGTTTTAATTGGCATAATTCCACAAAAGTCAATGAAGTTGCACACTTATATCAAAACTAAACTTGGCCTGGTGTCTGCAGAAGGTGTTACATTATTTCTCTACAGCTGATCTATGTGGCAGGTTGTTTACTACACAGTAAATACTGATCTAAGTAACATTAAATTTGTCTGTCTCCTCTAAAAATCTCTTACTCCTCCATTAGGGGAGACAATACATGAAGCACCACAGATGCAAAGCCAGCCATACTACAAGCAGTACAGCATGAACAGGGGATGACCAGAGCCATATCACTTATATATGTAAGACCTGATATCCATATTATTTGGCCGGTCTGTAAATAGGGATTATGAACAAATAGATTTGGTATTAGGTTCTGCTGCTGAGTTTGCCTCATGAAAGGGATGACATAGCACTACTGTGAGAAATAAGATGGCAGTGAACATCTTCAATGCTTTTTTAATTCAGGATGAGAGGTTATTGCCCCTGGTTATTAACACCTATAAAATGTCATCATAGCAAGATGTATAATGAACTAGATAACCTCCCCTTGTGTCAGATGGCAACAAATGATTCTGAATGTCTTTTTTTCGTGAATCTCATCAGGGAACGGGTAGATGCTGTGTATTTGCAGTATTTGTATTTACCCTCTGATTTTTGCTGTGGGGGCTTTCATAGTATTGGGTGAAAAGGGTAAGGCACACACCAAAGCTATTTTGTTAGCAGGATTAAAAAGTGCTTTGTCTGGTGACAGCTAGTAGGTGTCTGAGGTTGGCAAAGAGCGCCATCTGCAGCTGGCAAAGCGATTTAAAAAACTGAATATTGCATTTGGCTATTTCTTTATGTGATGTTCTCTTTACTCAAGAAAAAGCAAAAGAGATAAATAATCTGGGCCTAAAGAAACAAGCACAGGTCCTACTTTTCAGTTACTTTTGCTTGTAGGGAAGGCTTTAAAGCCACAGCCAAGGTTTCTGCATTAGGTAGCACAAGAAACGAGAAATACCAATGGGCTGTGTCTAGACTGGCAAGCTGTCTACACTGGCCGCTTGAATTGCCGCAAGAACACTGACTTCCTACTGTCTGAAATCAGTGCTTCTTGTGGAAATACTATGCTGCTCCCGTTCGGGCAAAAGTCCTTTTGCGCAAAGCTTTTGCGCAAAAGGGCCAGTGTAGACAGCTCAGATTTGTTTTGCGCAAAAAAGCCCTGATCGCGAAAATGTCGATCAGGGCTTTTTTTGCGGGAAAGCATGTCTAGATTGGCACGGATGCTTTTCTGCAAAAACTGCTTTTGAGGAAAAGCGTCCGTGCCAATCTAGACGCTCTTTTCCGCAAATGCTTTTAACGGAAAAACTTTTCCGTTAAAAGCATTTGTGGAAAATCATGCCAGTCTAGACATAGCCATGGTGTTTCTATTGCTAGGTTACCCTGCTCAAAAACTCGGATTCAATAAATAGGGGAGCATGCTGTGCTCAGCAGATAGGAAGAGTGTCCATGCTTCATTATGTACTGTGGGGTTTGGAAAGGGGTTGTGTCCCCCTAGCCTTCTTTACCTTGGATATCTTTCTTAATATTTCCCACAATTGCCAGTACCAATCTTCAGAGGGCTAGTTTAGTCAAGATGCTAATAACCACTGAAATTTTAACTATGATGTCATCCTGAGTGAGCAGGTTCAAATGACACAGTAATTGAAGTGTTGGTGGACCGTTTACTCTAATGCTCTCATCATCACTGCCATTGGTGTAGGGATAGCAAGGGAGAAGTCTTTAAAGAAAAATGTCTAGGGTAGCCCCATCTCCTGAAACACAAGCCCTTCTGAAATGCAGCCCTGGCATTAGCATAGGTCGGTATTTTTCATGGCAAATTCAGGGCCAGTAGAACTAAAGCAGGGTCACTTAAAAAAGGAAAGAAGCTGGTGCTTTTGAAAAAGATAGTATTACTGACAGTGACTCGGCATTGCCTTTCTTTGAATACAAGTACAGGCCCTGATGCTGCCAAGTCTTAAGTATACGTGGTTAACTTCAAGCGTGTGAGAGGTTTCACTCAGTAGGGATGTAAGGGGTTGACTGGTTAACCCGCTACGCCGTAAACAGGCAGCTTATCGGCCTGCTTACAAGGTAACTGATGAACTGGCCTAGGCCGGACCCTGCCTGCGGCCACAGCACCTCTCAATAGGCCCGGACCAAGGCTCGCGGCTGGGACTGGAGCAGCGCCACCTGGCCACGGCAGGGCCAGGGCTGGAGTAGCTGGGCCGCAGCGGCTCCCTGCCAGTGGCCCGTCGCGCTGCTGCTGGGGCGGGAGGTGAGTCCCGCCAGGGCTCCCGGGTTAAATGCAGCGTAAAAGGTCACGTCACATCCCTGCCGCTGAGCCGAGCCAGCGGCTCACTCGCCCGCGTAACGCTCTGCGCTTGCTCCCCGCATCCGTGCGCGCTGTGCCCGCGGGCCGAGCGAAGCAAAAGCCCCCAGCGGCGCTTCCCTAGCCGGCCGCAAAGACTATGGAGCGCGCGCGTGCTCCGAGCGTGCCCGGGGCCTTTTATCCCCCCCCCAAAGGCGCATTTGTGCGGTCACTGATCCGAACGCAGCACGCGGACGCTGCGAGCCCGGGGGAGCGCAGCGAGCCCAGCGGCTCTGAAGCGGGGTCCGACTCGGGCAGGCGGCCAGTCAAGCGGCGGGGCCCTTTGCCGGCGAGTCGCAGCCTCGGCCGGGCTCCCCTCCTGCGTCTCCCGGGCAGCAGCGGCTCGGGGGGCGGCCGGGCCAAGCGCCCTTCTGCGGCGGGAGCTCGCCAGGGAGGGGAGGCCGGGGCGGGGCTCGTTTTCCACCACCCCTCGGGGCAGCGTGGGAGGCGGGCTCTGCGCGGGCCGCGGCTTCTTTCTCGGCCGGCAGCCCCATGGCCGCGGCCCCGCTGGGCGCCGGGAGCCTGCTGCAGTTCCTGAGGCTGGTGGGGCAGCTCCAGGGGCGGGGCCCGCCGGGGGGGCGGGACGGGGGGTGGGGGCTGGCTCTGGCCACATGGCGGGGCGTCCAGGGGCTGCCTGGGGGCAGGTTAATTCAGCCACCCGCGCTCAGGTTGGAAACCAAATCCGGCCAGGCTGCAGTGACTCGCTGCCTGTGAGTGGGTCTTCGCCGGGCCTCCCCACATACCTGGGGGGCGAGTGTGCAGGGGCAGATGAGCTGATTTGGCCCAAGGCCTAGTTTGTCCTAGGATTGTACTGGAATCTCTAGGACTCACGAATCAATCTTTAAGAACAGATTATGTCCTGTGCTGAAACCTCCAGGAATACATCCAGGCTAAATGGCAACCTGCTAAGGCTGCAAATGGGAGTCAGATGCAGATCTATGGCTAGAAATTAAGGCCCTGTCAGTGTACATGGTTAAACGGTTAACCTTCACCATTACACACAACAGTGAAGCTGAGTGCCCCAGCTTCTGTTTTCTAGTGGGAGTTTTGTACTTGAGGCTGCCTGAAGTATATGTTGTGTGTGTGTTCCTTGCCTCATTTTCGTTGTGTGCCTTATGTTCTACCCTACTGACCTTGTCACCTGTTGGGGATTTTGGACTGGATCCAAATCCTTATAGATAGCTACACACACAAACAATGTGTTTCTCTGGACGTAGCTTTAACTGCAGTGGATGTATTAAAATATGAGCTCTTAAAAAAATTCTTTAATCCCGAAACCCCAAAAATTCTTTAAATCCCGAAACCCAAAAAGTATTTCCTCCCAGTGCAGAACAGAGTGGCCTTGGCAAAAACAATTCCAAGCAGAAACACTACGGCTGTGTCTAAACTGGCAAGTTTTTCTGGAAAATCATCTGCTTTTCTGGAAAAACTTGCCAGCTGTCTACACTGGCCGCTTGACTTTCCGGAAAAGCACTGATGATCTCCTGTAAAATCATCGGTGCTTTTCCGGAAAAACTATGCTGCTCCCGTTCGGGCAAAAGGGCCAGTGTAGACGGCATAGTACTGTTTTCCGCAAAAAAGCCCCGATCGCGAAAAAGACGATCGGGGCTTTTTTGCGGAAACGCTCTTCTGCAAAAAGCACTTTTTGCGGAAAAGCATCCTGCCAATCTAGATGCGCTTTTCCAAAAATGCTTTTAACTGAAAACTTTTCTGTTAAAAGTATTTTCGGAAATTCATGCCAGTGTAGACATAGCCTACTAGTGGTGCAGGTTGGCATGTAGATGGGTGGGAGGCTGCAACTGGCAAAACAAATACAAAATCCATTCAAATAGTGAAGGCCTATGCTCAGTACAGGCTGAACCTCTCTAGTCCAGCACTCCGTGGTCCAGCATGATTTTAGTTAGCTGGTTGTCCATTTTTCATGGATGTGGCCAAGTTTCCCATGGTCCTGTAAAGTTTGTTTATAGTCACGAGTCCTGGCTTTCAGTGTTCTGTGCTGTTATTTAGCTCTAATTTACCCTTAAATGTCTTCAAAGGGCCCAGTAAGCAGTGGAAGTGTTGGTAATGCTACTAGACTATATTAACCTCTGGTGGTTCAGCAAATTCTCTAGTTTGACACTGGTCAGGGCCAAAGGGTGCAGGACTAGAGAGGTTCAATTTGTACAACCTACAGAAGTCATGTGAGAGACAAACCACCACCAAACAAAATGAAGGCAGATGATTTCACAAATCAGAGTAGTGTCACTGACTGAGCATAGGGCTTATATTAGAAACTCTTCAGTTTAATTATAGTTCCTAACTTCACTAATATTGCAGAGATGGAGTGAAGATTAATTACAGTACTTTTGTGACCAATGTTTTGAAGAGGTATAGTACTATTGAAACACTGAATATTCTTTAGTCACATGGAATGTTGTATGGGATATTAAGCTGAAATGGTCTCTGAAAACTGAAAAAGACAGATTTTCTGGTGGTATGTGCTATTGCTGTGTTTTATACTTTATTGCAATAGAGCTTATCACAGGATTAAACTAACTCTGTAACAGTTATTTTTCAGTAATGTTACTGAGGTCTTATTCATGCATGAGAAGGAAATGTTACCTTTAAAGGGACACATTTTTCATTTGGTATCTTTTAAGCTAAATTCTTCAGAATGTTATTTATTATTGTTAAAATTGTCTCCAAACAGAGAGTACCGCGAACAGGCTGGGTGTACAGGAATGTAGAGAAACCAGAGAGTGTATCCGATCACATGTACAGGATGGCAGTCATGGCTCTGATAACTGAAGATAAACAGCTTAATAAAGACAGGTAAGAATACTAATGGTGGTGATTAAACCTATCTCAAGATTTGGGAACTGAGAATTGTTCATCACAACATCACACTCTTCTGAGGCATTTTAGAATGCAGAGGAGGAATCCAAATTCCTGGTTTTTTTCCACTCTTGAACAAGTTGCTATGTGTCTTCTGGAGTTGAGGGTTGAGGAATTATTTTATTAACTAAAAGTGGAGGCGTGGACAGGCTGCCAGGGATGTTAAATGATTCACCATTAAGTATGAGGCGTACCAGTATGCTTATTAGTTCAGTCTTTCAGGTGAACTCCCGTGCTGGCCAGCCACGCTGGATTGGTGCATCCCCAGTCATGGAGGAGCTGGGAGGCAGGACCTCTTGTCCATAGTAAAACTGGGTGGTTGGCTGAGCAGTAGGCCCTAAGTTAAAATAGTTAATCGGTTAAGCGATAGTGTTTAACCGGTAAACTCTTTTAACAACTCTATAGACTGCTAACACAGAATAGCTTACAGCAGTGTTTCTCAACTTTTTTTTATAAAGTATCCCTTAAAAAAAAGTACCCCCAGTACCTACAGTTTTCAGACCCACACAATTTTTTTTTCTACTGTTGCAACACATTTGTTTAAACAACTTAATTGTTGTTGGGCGGGCGATGAAATTTTTGGGTGTAAAAAGTACAAAAATAATAAAGCACTGTAAAACTTAAATTCAATTTTCTCCAAATTTCAGTTGAGTTGACATAACCCCCAGACTTCTCTCGAGTACCCTTATGGGTACTCGTACCACTGGTTGAGAAACACTGGCTTTAGACCATGCTTTCTCTCAGAGATGTACTTAAGAAGGCTGAAGAATCCCATTCAAAGAGGAGTTTGAAGTGCATGGTGAAGCAAAATCTGTATCTTGTGTAGCTTGTGACCGAGATTCTATTAACTCTTGAGAGAAATAAAGAACCATGAAATTAATTTAGTGTATGAAGGAAAACATAATTACAGTTGGAACACTTGTTAAGAATGGTACAGTATCATATTTACTTTGTCAGCTTTCTGAAGTGATAATGTTAGACTACTTTAACTTGGAACTCAGTTTTTCTTATTAACCTTCAGGAAGTATAAACCACGTAAAATCATGTTTCTGATGCTGACTTCTCCTATACTGTCCACAAGAATGCTCTTAATGGCCTAGCAGTGGACATATATGGCTCCTTTTTCAATTGATAACTCAGACAATCATACTCTGTGTTTCTATGGCTTTATACCCTGTTTAATTATTGACATTAGTGAGAGGTGAGTCTACAAACGTTGTAAAACAATATAATCAAAATAGTAGCATTTTAAACTCGCTCTGTATGAGTCTCTAACTTTTAGGTGCAAGCCACTATATAATAAGGCCTAGAGAGCTGAATGACATGAGAGAAGTTCCGTAACCACTTTGTGACAGAGATGGAGTAGATTGCTGATGCCCTTCTATGGGCAGGAGGAAAACACATGATTTGAACAGAAGCATCCCTTAAGGGCAGCGGGACGAGGGGACGAGAGGATAGAAGCTGGAAAAAAAAGACTGATAGGAAATGAAGAGAAATAAAGGAAAAAGGTCATGTACAATTACATCACGTGGAGGCAGACAACTAAATATTGACACATTTTATAATTTTTATACAAATTCTAGAAGTCTAAATACTAAGATGTATGAACCTGAATGCTTGATATTAGATGAGGATTGGTCCAGCAACATCTGTGGTCCAGTATGATTTTAGTTAGTGGGATGTCCGCTTATCATGGGTACGACCAAGTTTTCTGTTGTGCCATAAAGTTTTACAGCCACCAGTCCTGGCTCTGTGTTCCGTGCTATCATGTATTTCTAATTTACCCCAAATGTCTTCTAAGAGACGAGGAAGCAGTAGAAGTGTTGGTAATGCTGCTAGATAATATTTTTTTTTAAATTATCCTTTTGGACAATTACTTCTGCTAGAACAGGCTAGGCATTTTAGAACTCACTAAGCAAAGAATTAAATGTAAGTGTAATAATAATACAATTATGAAATGCAGAGGGCAGTCAGAACACTAAAACAGAACACATGTAGGAAGGGACACCTGGACATATGCTGCCAGCTGTGAGGGCTCTGCTGGGCTGCCCAAGTGCACAGGTTACAGGGGAAAAAACTCCAATATAAAATTGCAGAACCCCTAGCAGTGTTATGCAAGCTATCATTTAAATAGCTTCTTTAACAAATGATTGGAGAATACCTACTATAACTGCTAATTTTCTATAAAAGGTTCCAAAGGTGATCCTAGCATTTAAAAGCTGGCAAGCCTAATTTCAGTGACAGGAAAAACTGAAAAGTAAGGAGAAAAGTGATAGAGGTCTATAAAATCATGAGTGGTGTGGAGAAAACGAATAAGGAAGGTTTATTTACTCTTTCACATAACACAAGAACTGGGGGTGACCCAATGAAATTAATAGGCAGGAGGTTTAAAACAGTGCCTTCTGGTAGTGCATTAAACAACATCTGTCACTTTTTTCATTCTTTCCCCAGAGGGAGAGGGGAGTGCAGTGCTTGCAGCAGTGTGTTTTGAGTTTTAAAAAAATAAAATACACATTTTCCCCCTTCCTCTCACTATAGGGCTGTGTCTACACTGGCAAGGTTTTTCCGGAAAATCATCTGATTTTCCGGGAAAACTTGCTAGCTGTCTACACTGGCCGCTTGAATTTCCGGAAAAGCACTGATGGTCTCATGTAAAATCATCAGTGCTTTTCCGGAAAAACTATGCTGCTCCCATTCGGGCAAAAGTCTTTTTCCGAAAGACTTTTGCGCGAAAGGGCCAGTGTAGACAGCACAGTAGTGTTTTCCGTAAAAAA